GAGAGAGAGAGAGAGAGAGAGAGAGAGAGAGAGAGAGAGATGTTTGCCGGGGCTGTTGGCGCTACTAATTAAAGGAATCTTTGAGTTAACCTCAGAGGATTTGACATGTTTGGGGAGCTGGGTCGAAGCAGCAGGTTTTGGAAAGGAGGAGTCAGAAGGAAAAGAACAGCTGGGAAAGAGGAGAATGGGGGAGGGGGTTTTTGAAGGGCAAATTGTGCATTTACAACTTCCAGTTTTGAACCCAGCTCCCAAAGCCTCAAGAGAGGGTGGATTTGCAAGAGAGGGAGCCCTTCCTTTAGGGGGAAAAAAAACAACAAACCAAGCGTCCTACCCCGGTTTTCTTTAATTTTCTTCTTCTTCTTCTCACACAAAACAGGACTGGAATGAGAAATACATTCACCCAAACTACACGGATGCCTTAAAAGGCAAATTGGTAGAAACGGTAAACCAAGTTTTCTTCGTTGCAAGTAGAATTGGGCGGTGGGAGGTGGGCAGAAAGGAGAGAGAGAAAAAGAGGGCTGGAATCCCACCCCCTAAAATAAAATAAATGAAATGAAACATAATAAACAAAGCAAAAAAACATAGAAATTGCTGCAGAATGGTGCAAAATAGCCCCAGGCAGCTCTGGATTTTTATCCCTCGTCCAGCCCTGCCCAGATGTCTACTGGTTCCCTCTATTCACCGACGCGGCTTGCGACGAGCTGGTTGAAGAGATGGAGCACTTTGGCCAGTGGTCCAAGGGAGACAACAAGGTAAGGTGACCCCTCACAGGTGCAGCTCATCCAAGGGAGATTCTGGATCCTTCCTTTCCAACGGATGCCACTTCCTTAGCCGAGTCACCTGCTGAGGAACGTTTGCCAGGAAGCGGCTGGTTTTAAAAACAAACCGTAGTTTTAAAACAAACCATGGTGTCAGATCTGTGTATCTGCCATTCTCCGATGGAATAAAGGAGTGGAGTTGGATTTGACGCATTTAATTCTTTCCCTCTCTATGTAGCCTAAGTGTCCTCTTTTTTACCTTGTCTTTTGTATAATCTTTTTACACGATTTATAACCATTGCCTGGTGCCCCAGATGCCTGGAAACTTCTCACCTCTTGAGGGGATTGCAGTGCCGGAAAATAGCCTGAGAAACTTTTCTTATCTGTTTTCTCAGAGGTGCTGGTAAAATAACACCTTCGCACCTGCAGATTGGTGGAATCCACATCGGACTGTTCGGAGGGGTTTCTCGTTCTCTTTATCTTAGTTCAACGGTCCCCAAACTTGGCAACTTTAAGACTTGTGGATTTCAACTCAACCCAGAATTCCTCAGCCAGCCAAGCCAGCAAAATTCTGGGAGTTGAAGTCCACAAGTCTTAAAGTTGCCAAGCTTGGAGACCTAGTTGCATGCCCCGAGGGAACTCAGATCCTGCTTTGAATTTTGACTTGCTTTTACCTCCCTTCAATAAAAAAGATTCCTTTTGAAATACAATGTTTTCAAGAGTCTACGCTTATTTTTTGAAGGGGGGAGAGGCTGGTCGTTACATGTAGAGCAGCTACCGGCTAACTTTACTCACTGTTTTTATAGGACCAGAGGATTTTAGGGGGCTATGAGAACGTCCCCACCATTGACATTCACATGAACCAGGTCAACTTTGAGCGAGAGTGGTACAGATTTCTCCTGGATTACATCGCACCCATCACGGAGAAGCTCTACCCAGGTTACCATACCCAGGTGAGTTCAGCTTATACGGGCTGGGATTGGAAACTCATGGGAGAATTTGAACTGGTGGCCCTGGAGGACCCCGAAATGAAGGACTTTGAGGGGCCTTTTGGGGCAGGCCAAGAGAAAGAAGAAAGTACGAGGCCACACGAACCCCCCAAAAGCAGCCATCACTCCTGGATAAATCCTTGTAAGCATTTCTCTAGCTCACTTGCAACTGATGATGGCTTGTGGAAGAATTCACAAGCCATGGTTTGGCCCAGCCTGTTTCTTTTCTACAGACCCAGTTTGAGCTCGCCTTCATCGTCCGGTACAAGCCGGACGAGCAGCCGTCCCTGATGCCGCATCACGACGCTTCCACATTCACCATCAACATCGCCTTGAATCGCGTGGGGATCGATTATGAAGTGAGTGTAAGAACTTTAGGCCGGCTTGAAGGGAGGGCAAAATGGCGGAGTCCGTGTAGGAGGGAGATGGAGAGACAAAAGAGGGTGGACTAAGAGGGTTTGGGTTTTTTTCCCCCCATTTCTGTGCTAAGAGGGCAAGGCCAGCACTGCGGGGAGGTGTGGGTATGGAATATTTGCAAGGCATATTTGATTTTGGCTAAGTCTGAGAAAGCAAGGAGGGAGAAGATGAGAAAGGAAGAAGGAAGGAAGAAGAGATAAAGAAAAAAAAAGTTTATCACAGAGGGTTCCAGAAGAGAGGGAGGGAGGAGATGAGAAAGGGAGAAGGAAGGAAGAAGAGATAAAGAAAAAAAGTTTATCACAGAGGGTTCCAGAAGAGAGGGAGGGAGGAGATGAGAAAGGGAGAAGGAAGGAAGAAGAGATAAAGAAAAAAAGTTTATCACAGAGGGTTCCAGAAGAGAGGGAGGGAGGAGATGAGAAAGGGAGAAGGAAGGAAGAGAGGAAGGAAAGAAGAAGAGA